AATCAACTTTTAAGAAACTAAACATATTGAAATTTTCAAAAACTCCCAAATACGTGTTTATAGATGTGTATATAAAAAGGCCATGTAATATAATACAGAAATAATATATATAATAAAAAGTTAACAGTAAGATTTGAATACTTTATACATAATAATACTTTATACACTAATAATTCTTTCATCGAATTAAACTGTGTATTAAAAACTTATTGATAGTATTAATGTTATGAATCATTTAGTATAATTTGTAGATATATCGATGTGTGAGAGATTGTACACAACACATACACACACACACATACATGTATTTTTCTTGTACAGATTAGAGAACATTGTGAATAATATTAGTCAATTTAAAATCATTTAAAGATTAATGTCATATCATTAATGATATGCTATTATCAACTATGCTATTATCAACATTATATTCAGCGTTGCACGATGACTTGTATGTGTATAGAATACGCTTATAGTAATTTACTGGTTCACTCCAATTACCTCTTATCCCTACTCTGCCAAATTATAAAAAAAAATATTCAAGAAAATGATGCTAGTTTTTCACATTATAAAATTTTGGAATTATATTGAAAAAAATTCTTCGCTCAGATTTTCTTTAATTTTGCAATGACGGAAGTTGTACAGCAAAGCAACATCGTGAAATCCGGTTTACAGATAAAAAAATTGGTGATTGGTTCTACAAGTTAAATGGTATCATATTTTTAATTACATAATTCTATTTTGGAGCAATAAATGCATCTTCGCGCGTGAGATTCAGATATATACAGTAATAGAATTCACGCGGTGACGAAAGCATGGCGTAGTGTATATATGTTTATACACATACGTGCGAAAAGTGTGTTGATATGTGTAGTGGTATCAATCAGTATCCGGCCTTTGCCAGTGTGCGCTGACGTGCGTACAAAAACTACGGAAGGAATGACTATCAAACATGATGTACCGAAATTGTTCAAGCTGAAACAGCTAAGAAAAGTCAAAGTATGGGAGGAATAAACTGGAATGAATTATTTCCAGGAAGGTGGAGTCCTGTTATTTTCATCTCCTACATAGCTCTCTTTATAAATCAAGGTACGTTGATCACATGTTCTATAAACAATTTTCATCCTTCTTATTATAATCAACAAAATATATAAATTTGAATTAATTAAATATCAGTTATCATGAAAATATGATATCAAAATGCAACAATCTACTGTAGGTATTCTTGTAACATGGTCTCAAAGAAGCGGCCGCTACGAATATAATATTGTGGCAGTTGTGTTGATGACAGAAGTTCTAAAATTAGTTATATCTACAACACTTTACTGTAAAGAGTAAGTAAAACAATTCACAATTTGTATACAGGCCAATTTGTATACTGGCCAATGTGGGTCGATTTTCCTGTTATCAGCATTAATTCATCTTATTTTCAGCAATAGTATCCTAACGCTTCTTCAGGAGACAAAGAAAAACAAAAAAGGTGAGATTAAAAGCAAAACTAAAGAAACTTACAAACATCGAATGTGCTCAAGATTCAGTGTACTAAAGAAACTTCTGTCTGTTTTCAGTGCTTCTGCTATATATGATACCTGCGCTTTTGTACTGCCTGTACAACAATCTAGCATTTGTCAATTTGGCTAGGTTCGACCCCACGACTTATTATATTCTGTTGCAACTCCGCGTTGTACTTACGGGAATCATTTTCCAGGTATATCGATATTAGTATTCATAGTCGATTCTTGTATTTAAGCTGTCGTAAAAAATGATAAATCAGCATCTTGAGGCATTATTCAAGCACTATCTTGAAATATAAGGATATAAATATTTTCTATATACATAAAAAGACGACGTTGAACGGATGACGTAATAATTCTGATTTCTTCTAGGTCATTTTTAACAAAAAGTTATCCGCAACGCAATGGTTTTCCCTAGTGATCTTGACAGTCGGCTGTATGGTAAAGCACTTTGATACCCACGTCCTTGGCACAGAATTCCATGTAGATATTTTTCTACTTCTAATTCTTGTACAAGTGAGTCATTTATTATATTGATACTTGTATAAGTGGAGACATAATTAAAGGTTTATTCACGTCGTATGCTCCAACATGCTCCTGCCATAGTTCCTACTTATTCTAATGAGTGTATTGAAGTGAGTAGGAGTTATGATAAAAGTATATTGGAGCATGTTGGAGTATACGACGCGAACAAACCTTAAGTTTTCTTAAAAACAAAACTTGTCTTACAGACGACATGCTCCTGCTTGGCTGGTGTATATAACGAGTATTTACTGAAACGGCAGGGCGCGGACATTGACATTTTTATACAGAACGTATTTATGTATATCGACAGTATTTTTTGCAACATCGTAGTAATTATCCTATTAAGTGTATTCACGAACGACGCCAGCGAAACATTGAGTAACGTTGAGATCGGTACGTTTCTTCAACCGAAAGTAATTTTAATTATGTTAAACAATTCTCTCGTTGGGATAATAACGAGCTTCTTTCTAAAGACCTTAAATTCTATATTGAAGACCTTCGCCAGCGCGGTGGAACTAATTTTTACAGCGATGCTTTGTTGGATTTTGTTTAGCATACCCGTTAGCACGAACACCATCGTTTCTATAGTTATGGTGAGTGTTGCTGTGATTTTATATTCGAGAAATCCTGTACAGAACGCTCAACCCAAAGAGGTAGCGGAAACTGGAAAGCTTTTAGTGTAAACAACAGTATTAAATTTTATTTTCTAAATGACAAATGATTGCAATTAAATTATAAAACAAAGCATACATTATCAAGCTGTTACAAATATTTTATGGTATGACGATAAGATTATGTGATAATAATAAGGTTGTTAATTTAAGATATTGACTGAACGCTTATGAATAAAAATATCAATTTCTTTTACAAGTATCAATAGAAAATTAAGTAAATAATTTAACGAGCAATAATAATTTTGGTTATCTATGATAACAAATCGTAAGAATCTTTATTTTATATCTTTATATTATAATATTATATAATTCTTTATATTATATATTTTCTTCAAAGTATTCGATCGTTTTTCTTTAAATACACAGAAAAAGAATAGATTAAGGCCTGATTGATAATATATTTTGAGATATCGTATCAATTTCTAGAATTTCTAGATATTCTATGATTAAATTGTGTATCTAATCTTCTGTTTAAAAAAAGGTGGATTTCAGAAGAAATTGTGCGAGACATCGATCACGTATTCGATGTTACTTATTAATTCTAATTTCTACAATGAATATCTTTTATAAAAACTTCGATATCTGAATAAAAAAAGGAGAAGATCAATTTTTTTTAATTTCAATTCCAAATCCTTTCACCTGTGAAAATCAGCCCTAACAATCTCGCAAAACGATTCATCGAGATCATTGTGAATGAATGCAGACATGTTTGTTCATTGGTCGCCTAGCTCTATTACCTCGCATATATCACTACTTCAAATTTAAAGTTTTATTAATTATAATTGGATCCCTCTCTACTGTCCTTCGTATTACATTTTCTATTCTTCTTCCTCCAAATGCATTTGTTTTTATCGTCCCTTTTCTGTAGCGTATCATAATAAGCGATGTAATTTCTGTTGCATTATATTCTATTATTTATTCTTGGAAGTCAAGCAGACACTTTGTAAAAATTCTTGAAAAAAATTAATTGTTAAAAAGAAGAAAGAAATGAAATCGGTCGCAGATCGCAGCCTCTCTTTCTAGCAAACGAGAATGGATTGAAATGAATTGAAATGTAGTTTAGATTTTCAGAAATATTGATTCACGAATGTTAAAATGAATGCTTTTCAATTCTGAATGCATTTTTATTCATTTATAGGAATTACATGGAGCATATGTCTATGCCTTTCAATCTAAAAATAATATAAGCTTTTTCTGTGCAAAAACATACAACTGAATACTGTTCAATTAAAAAAAAAAATTTTTTTTTCATTTCAAATGTTGAATAGAAAATGCAGTTTTTCAATCCAATTACATCCAATTGAATCCAATTAAATCGAAAAAAAAGTATTCGCTATTTAAAATATGCATTCGGATAGAAAAAAATTTCAATCTATTTTAATCCATTCTCGTTTGCTGGAATTCGATGCATTCGTCATGCACGTGTGCGTGCATTGGCGTGTTGCGTGCGCGAGACAGATTCCATAATGACGTCGTAGGCGTGTGTGTGATGTGATACATGTGCGATAATGCGCGATGCCTAGGGGTGCCGCGGCGGCGTTCTACGTTCTCCCGAGGATCCCGGTTGGTCCCGACGATCTTCCCCTTGGAATCTCCTCCTCTTGGCAGCGCCGACTCACGTCTGCCGGTTTCCTCTATCTCCTCTTTTTTTTCCTTTTTCTCTCTCACCAGATGATTCGACGGGCAGTGCTGAGGGTTTAAATGAACGTGCGTTAATGCGCGGCGGGCCCGCGCCACGAACGATAACGTTGTGTCGGATTACATCGAGCCTGAAACATCGGACAATTTTTTCTCATTCTTTTTTCTCTTTCGATCATGGGTAAGTTTTTCAGTATTTTTGCAGAGTTTACACATCTTCACGACCGCTAATCATTTCAGAGGACCCCACGGAGGCGCAGAAGTGGCAACAACATCTGACTCTGCTGCGAGAGCAGTATGTCAATTTATACAACGCGAACGCGGAACTGCAACGGGAATACGCCGTCGCCACGGCTGAAAAGCAGGAGGGTGGATTCGTCACTAGGCTTCTGGCGACAGTCGCATCCTTGTACTGTCAACATCGTTACAGGTATCCTTATGTATATAACCTGAAATTCAGGTGTCTTGCAACAATAATAATGAATTAAATTATTAATAATAAGTCTATTTTTTTAACTGTTTTTACTGTTTGTTTTCAGTGATATAAGTATAAAACTGATCGACCAAGAGATACCGGCGCATAAATTCGTGTTGTCTGCCAGGTCTGATTTCTTCAGTGACGCAGCCCTTGTGGAAAAGACTGTTTTAGGTTAGATAAATTTGCAACTTATTTGTTTATATCTTATTTTTATTTTAATACTTTAATTTATGTTTTATTTTTATTTAATACATTAGATTGGTTCTTAATCTTATTTTAATACAATTGTTGTGTTTCATATTACGAATGTTTCTAGATTGGAGCAGTTTAAATAGTGCCGTTGCATTAGTGCTGCTGAAATGGATTTATACAGGCAAAGTATCCCAGGAACACCTAACGTTAGATCTGATGAAAGCAGCAGCGGGTTTCCAATTGTCCGATCTAGTAGATCAATGCGAAAGATATCTGATTGGGACAGTGGGATTGAAGAATTGCGTAGGATTATACTCAGCCGCCGAGGAACTGGGTACCCTAAAATTGAAGGAGCATTGTAGCTCCTTAATTTCAGCGCATTGGGTAAGATTGTTATTATAGAGTAACAATATTAATTTTATACCTAAAATGTTTATATATATTACAGGAAGATCTGACCGGCGAAGACTTCAAGGAAATGCCTGGTTCTTTACTGTACAAATTACTACAAACAAAGAGCAAATATCCTTTGCACGCAGCGGTACGTTTGATGCGTGAAGATGTCGTGTTTCTGTACTTGGTGGAACATAATGCTGAGGTAAGTTTTTTCTTCCTTTTGTGATTGTTGAAAAGCCAAAGGTGATATATTTATTGAAGTAATTTAAATTAGTGATTGCAATACATAATTATTTGCATAATTCATAAAAAAATATATATGAGCGTAATATGAAAATATTGTACCACTAAAATATATAAGGATTTAATATTATAATATACAATTTGTTCATCATTGAATATCTTAAATGTTGTATTATTACAATTTACTTACATGTTCACAGCTCGAGTTAAATGTTAATTAAGTACTTATATGTGTACAAAATACGCTTTGTTTACGAACATTTAAGATAAATGATAATTTTGTCTTAGTAGTTTTGGCAGTGATATGTTAAAATTATTAGATCACTCCAAAGAATCTTCGTTTATTTCTTATACTCCCTCATATTTATTAAAAACTATGATAAACTATGATAAACTTTTTCAATCATCTCAGACATCAAATTTATACAAATATTAGCAATGAATAGATTTTTTTATACTTTAATGTATATTTGTAATACTTTTTATAAATATACTTTAATGTGTATTTGTAATACTTTTCATAAATATAGAAAATGTTCCAATTATTATCTTTAACAAGATAATTTAAGATCGAAAAGATTTTCTTTTCATTCAATTTTTCTTTTCCAATATATTATTCCAAAATTATAAATATAGAAATAGAAATTTACGAATTACAAAATTAAAAATAAACTATTTAATGTAATAATTTTAATAACAAATAAGCTAGCTAGATAGTTTTGTAGTCATTCATATTGGATAGGCCTCAATATTTTTGTATTTATAATACACATAACATTTGATGATAACATTTGCAATTTGTTATGATCTCTGCACTTCTATACTTAACAGGAGAGACTGATACTTACCATGTGCAGTTGTACGAAAGTCGTATAACTACACTTTCTTTTAAGTAAATGTTATGTGTTGCAAACTAATATTGTTTGTACACATTAAAACAATGTTATATATTGTTTTATAACAATCTCATAATTAACATCGCTAATATTGCCTCATATACTTTGTTAAACATTCCAATTTGCGAAGGAGATGAATTGCACAAATGAAAACTACAAAAACAGTATTCAGGTGGGCCAGTAGGCGCGCCTCTGTGTTCTCCAATAAAGCAACCTTCGTCATAAGCGGATGTTATGATCTCTTCCTTTTTATACCATTGTTTATCGGCGTCGTTGTAAGTGTGAGAAGTATATTTCTGTGGTGCACAATCTCGTTGAACAGTGGTCACTGCAGATGCTAAAAGAAGAAATTCATAAATAAACACTACGATATCACTTAGACAACAACTCGGCTACCTACTTTTAGACTTATACTGAACGGTTCTTTTCATACAAAGTGTCGAGGTTGGACAGAACACTTGGAATTTGGCACTTCCGTCGAAATGAGAACAAAGCAGATCTGTGTCGTCCGGGTTTGTGAATGTCATGAGACACTTGAAACATGAAATACCTTCTGCTTCTACTTGTGAAACGTCTATAAATTTCAAGAAACATTAATTTCATGTTCTCATTTGCAATATTTTTCATATTGGCAATACAAAAAGAAACATACGCGATATATAGAAAATATTGATATATAATATCATAATCTGTAGACTTGGTTTTAAGTTATACATTTTATTAGCGATATCATTCGTATCTTGTCAATCAATGAAGTTAAATCAATGAAGTTTAGTAATGAAGTATCACCTTATTTCAGTAATAATGATGAATCTGAAATAATATTTATATCAACGTTTAGCATACGATTTTTATATTCTCTTTTCAAGATTTATCAACCACATTAAAATAAAAAATATTATCCATATGTTTTCTAAATAACCTTGTTATGCGTAGAATTATAAAAGACTTGAACGATTGCAAATATCGCTTTTTTAATTGTTGAATCTGTCGTTTGAGATTCGTTGGAAAGCGCTAGATTTCACCGTTGGGTGATCCTTCGTATTCGCGTGAAGTTTCCAAATCGAAACTTTCCGATCTCTCATTATCCTCTTAATTAATATGCACTAATCGACATTCACCGTCAAATAGAGCGGCGAACAAGCGGCGCCCATCTATCACAGAGTTTCGTTGTTTGCATAACGCATCATAAACTGTCTTATTTCGCGACACGCACCACGGTATCATGGATCCGCCTCATGCGAAAATGCATCAGAAACGCATGAAATGACTGGTCGACAGCCGATTGCGGTCGGTTGGACGTACCGCGATTTGTGAAGACCACGTCATCCGCCTTGGTGGTGGCTTTAATACTCCCTCGGTCTTCCATGTATATCAGAAAATAATCTCCATACTTCCTCCACTTTTTCGCGCTAACCCGATACTGTATGTGCCATTCCAACGCATGAACACACACACGCGTGCACGCGCTGATAGCAGTGGCTCTCAAACCTCAGCTTCTTCCGCAACTGTTGTCATTATGACTTGACATTTATTTTTGAAAACTAAAATATTAATTTAAAATGGTACTTTAAACGTACGTTCATTCGAAATTTAAATGTTTAATTATTACATTGTTTTTAATAATTTTTATTACTGTTGTGATAAGATGTTTTATTACTATGTATAATAAGATTAATATAAATACTCTTTGCAAGCTTTAAAATTATGCGTCTTGATACATAGAGTAATCTTTAAATCAGTTTTAAACAAAATAAAGGTGATAAATTTTTTGATATCTTTTGACGCTAATGTTGCGATTATTTATGTCAGCTTCCGAAGGCTGTCAATGTTGTGGATCACAAAGGAGAAATGGCTCTAGAAGTTGCCTTGAAAACTCGCCAGCCATCTCTGGCACGCACCCTGGTCGAGCATGGAGCGGATTTAAATGCGAAAGACGCAAAAGGTCTTTCTCTCCTTCATTCAGCTATCTTGAAGGGAGACTCCTACTCGTCCGAGTTCATAATCGAGCAGCTGGAGAACAATGGCAACATATCAAAGTTATGTGAGGCTGTGAAAATTAACGAGAATGTGAAGAATGCGGCCGATCTTAAGCAATTGGAAGGCTGTACTGCCTTGCATCTAGTAGCAAAACACAATACGGAAAACATGTTGGCGGTTGGAACGAGATTACTCCAAGCGGGAATTGATCCGAACTTACAAGACTACAGAGGATGGTAAATTTGTATTTTCTATCAGCTTTCTGCTTAAAAATTTTTAACTCTTAGAATTCAGATACAATGAAAATTAATTATTAAATAAGAAACAAAAAATAACGTTTCAACTGCTTTGATAGATTGAAATTTTATTCCTTGTTTCTTATTCCTTTTATTATGTCTGAGCTTTAGTTTCTATATTATAATATATTAT